TGTTAAATAATAAAGGAAAAAAGCCAATAAATAAAAAAAGGAAAAGCAAAGGATAAATGGAGAAATTTCATGAACTAGTTGTTCTATTGTGATGTTACCTTTCTTGAATGTAAAAATTGCATTTCTGTTACTTAAAATAGCACCTTATTAGTTGAGGGGCTTGCTCAGTGGGTTTGATGCTCACCACATAGCAATAGGAACCTGAGTTCAGATCTTCAGCACCCATGTAAGAAGTGAGGCATGGTGGTACATATGCATAATTCCAGAACCAGAGGGATGGAGAATCCCGAGGGCTCTCATATCACTCTAATTGGTAAGCTCCAGGTTCAGGTGAGAAACCCTGTCTCAAATAAATAAATAAGATGGAAATCAATAAAGGAAGACACCCAATGTCAATCTCTGGCCTCTATAAATGCACACATGCACCTGAACACATGTACACACACAAGCACACACCACAAACATACACAATACAGTAATATACTTTTAGAAGTGTTTAGGGTATTGTTCTAGTTTGGGCTCCAATGCTGCGATAAATGTCATTACCAAAAGCAATTGGAGAAGGACAAGGTTTATTTCATCTTCCAGGTTGTAGTCCATGATCAAAGGAAATAAAGCAAGAACTTGAAGTAGAAATGGTGGTGGAACACTGCTTACTGGCTTGCTCCTAGGCTCACATTCAGCTACCTTTCTTATACATGTCAAACCCACCTGCCTCGGAATGGTATCACACACAATGGGCTGGACACTCCTACATCAGCTAGCAATCAAGAAATGCCTACTGGCCAATCTGATGGAGGCAGTTGTTCAATTGAGGTTCCCTTTCCAAAGTATGTCAGTTTGACAACCAAGATGAGCCATCACAGATATCTAGGGTGTTTAGGATGATATATAATAACACTTTTTATTTATTATCAAATGGTTAAGAAAATAGTGAAGCAGGGAGCAGAAATTGCAAAACAGAAGCAGTTCGTGGGCCTATGTAAAGGATATAAAGTGTGCCTTGTACTATCTCTCCACTTTCCTGTAGGTTGAAAATTTTCAAAATAAAAGATTAAGGATAAAAACCAGGAAGTGCATAAAGGCAGAAACAGGAAAGTGAAGTAGAAGTCAGCTCCCCCCATGCACCCTTTAATGGCTTTAGAACCACTTTGAGGCCCACCCTGGTTCACCTGTAAGTGCCAAAGATTATATGCCTGCATCTCTCCAACCCTGCATCTCAAGTATCCTGGCAAGTGCCTAGAAAATATATTTCAAAGGGAACTCTGACTCCCAGGGAGCAAGTGCCAAGTCATCTGTGGGAACAGATACATGAGAATGGTGGTCCCCAGAGCCTCCACGAGGACTTTGTGTTGCTGGACAGACTAGACATGGACCAGACAGACTGGAACTGCATTGCAGTGTCCTGGCTTCTTCTGCTTTCTTGAGCAGGCCCAGGCAAATCCTATAAAGATTATTTGCTGTCTGTTCCTTCACCAGTCATTAGCCCTGGAGGTCTATAAACCCTGAGTCCAAAAAGAGCAGTTAGCCAGAGGGACCAACTCCAAGCAAGGCCATCTCTCTCCTTCTCTTCCTCCAGCCCCAGGTCCTGAGAGCAAGAAAGAACAATAGAGCAATTGGAAGGTGTGGATCCCAACCCCAAAACCTCCCTTACAGTCTAGCCTGCATTTTGTTCAACCAGGACATGGGCTGCCAAAGCAGAGCCCTCCCCATTGGACATCCTCTGAAAGTTCAAAGAAAAGATACAGCAGCCTGGACACTGGACACGCCCTTATTAGTCTCAGTTCCCACCAAAGCCTATGGTGTTTCCTGTGCCTTGTCCGTTATTTCACAAGCTATTATTTCTTGCTTGAAGTTTCAGGGGAGAGGTCTTTATCTTCTCCCAGAAGCCACACAGCTAGCTACAGTCCCTCCTGGCCAGCACCATGGCCAAGACTCCTGGTGACCATTTGCTAAACACCCTGGAGGAGCTGCTGCCCTATGACTTCGAGAAGTTCAAGTTCAAACTGCAGAACACTAACCTGGAGAAGGGTCACTCCCGGATCCCCCGGGGCCATCTGCAGATGGCCAGGCCAGTAAAGCTGGCCAATCTGCTGCTCACCTACTATGGTGAAAAGTATGCTGTAAGGCTGACCCTGCAGATCCTAAGGGCCACCAACCAGCGCCTACTAGCAGAGGAGCTTCGCAGGGCCACAGGACCAGGTAAGTGGCCAAGCCCTTTCCCAGCTACAATGGCTGCTGGCTACTTGTGGAGGAAGAAAGCAATGCTCAGGCCCAAGCTCTCTAGCTTAATGGCCGGGAAGCCCCGTCCAGTGCAATGTAAACCCAGAACATCTTGTCCTTCCCTGGCATTTGTAGCTTGCTTACTGAAGCTCCCCCAGGAGTCTAAAGTCTTAAAAAATAAAAACCAATATTCTGACTGTGGGTCGGAATCAGGGAAGGCAGAGCTTGAACACCCCTTCCTAGAGAATTCTTTACTCCATTTTTTGGTTAATACACATGCCCAAACAAACGTTAGGTTGGTAGAAAGGGCTGAAAATCCTCATTAATCACCCAATTTCAGTTTAGAATTCTTTAGCATGCTTTACAAACATACTTAAATATTCTTTACTTTTAATGAAAGGTTCTTCAAATTAAAACATGGGTTGCTAATTACAGATTATCTTCATTATGTAGACTTTGGAACTAAGCCTTTTCTGACATTTTAAACAGCAATATTCTGAAATTACAGGCAAGTTTGCTTGCTGTTTTTGTTTTTTGTTTTTGTTTTTGTTTTTTGTTTTTTTTTTTGTTTTGGTTTTTAGATAGGGCTTCACTATGTAGACCAGGCAGGCCTCAAACTCAGAGATCCACCTGCCCCTGTATCCAGAGTGCTGAGATTAAAGGTGTACACCACCATATCCATTTAACCTTGTTTTCAAATGCCTTTTATACTTAGCTTTGCGACCTGGGATTTCCTTCAGCTTGTGTAATGAAGGAAAAACAGATTCATTTATAAGTCCCCACTTTAGTTAGTTTTATGTGTATGGGTCTTTTGTCTGCAGGTATATGAATGTACCATTTGCATGTCTGGTTCCACAAAGGCCAGAAGAGGCATCATAGTCCCCGGAATTGGAATTACTGATGGTTGTGAGCCACCATGTGGACACTGGGAACTGAATCTGGATGCTCTAGAAGAGCTCCCAGTACTCTTGACTACTGAGCCATCTCTCTCTCTCTCTCTCTCTCTCTCTCTCTCTCTCTCTCTCTCTCTCTCCTCCTATATTAATTTTTTTACTTTAATTATATTTTGTATATGTATTTGTGTCCGTCTGCATATATAAGTGAGTGTCATCATACCATGGCATACGTAGAAAGGTCAGAGGACAACTTGAAGGATTGCTTCTCTCCTTTCCCCTCGTGGGTTCTGGAGGTCAAACGCATGCCATCGAGCTTGTTGGCAACTCACTGAGTTGGTCTGCTTTAATTCTTTTTCCTTGCTTTGTTTTATAAATCAATTTTCACATCTATAACCATGCATCCATCCACCAATATTCCAGCTTTTATTTACTTTGTATTTTATGGTTTTGTGTAACTGAGCTGCTGTTGTCTAGAATGTTCTGTGCTTTCCTCTTTAGTAACTTTGAGGAGATTGTCTCTTCCTTCCTCCTGCCTCAGCCTTGAATGTAGGATAGCTTCATGCTCCCATCTGATTGTCTTTCTAGAACAATTAACGGAAGAAAATAGAATCGGTGATTCTGTCCAGTCTGGAGAGAATAATCTCAAGAGTGTAAAAGCACCAGATGTCCTGGAAGGTGATGGGACAAGGCAGAGTGGTGATGGATCAGGCAGCCTGCCACCTGGCCAGTCTGAAGTGGACAAGGGGTCCCAGAAGAAGTCTTTTGTCAAAAGGAGGGATCAGAGGGGCCCTGAGAGCCTGGATTCACAGACAAAGCCATGGGCCAGGAGCACAGCATCACCCTATAGAAAAAACCTGGTCAACACTCTGTGCCCAGCGGACAAGGAGGGAGGGGCAAGTGCCCAGCTCCGCAGGAATTCCAGTTCTGCGGGGAGGCTGCAGGGACTCTGCAACAATGTCCCAGGGAGAAGAGAATGCAAGAAAGCTGAAGCATATTTGCCTTCAGGAAAGAAGCGACCCAAAAGTCTTGAAATTACCACTTACTCAAGCGAAGGAGAACCCCCAAATTCAGAAGCTCTTCTGAGTCCAGAGGAAACAACTAATGGGAATCCACATGTAGTCCCTACTCCCATCAGCGTAGCCTTCTCGAATGAGGGGATTGCTGGGGCTCTAGAAAAGGGCTCAGGGATTCCAGAACCTTCCATGGCTCCCAATGAAGAAACATCTAGGAACATGCCTTCTAAAACATCGTTGATTGGAGAGGAAAAGAACACTACATTATGGAAGGAAAATGCAGCTGGAATATCAGAAACCCCTGAGAGCTTAAGGAAGATGGCTGGAAGTACACTCTATGAGTCCTGCAATCCAGAAGAGTCTTTGTCACTATCTGAAAAACCAGCCCAGACTCCAGAAGACCCAGAATTCTTGGCATTGACGGCTTGTAAAGGTACCCTTCCCCAACTCTCCAGAATTTCATTTTATTTTTGCCATATTTAGATTGCTGGGATACCTAGTTGTCTCCAGAGATCCCTGTGCAAATGTGATGCAGACCCAGAAGAATGCATATTTACACGTCGTACACAAAGGGTTGCATAAAATTTCAGTTAGTGTCTGAGCTCTAAGAGCCAATGGTTAGGTTAAGGATCTAAAAGGAATGGGCTAAAACACTCCTTTCCCACAGTAACCCCACAGTGAAAGTCTTGGGGCAGAGATTCTTCTGTTAATCACCTTTCTCGGGGCGGGGGGGAAGATGTTGACCAAAAACCCTCTTACTGGGAAATTAGTCACTAGGTTATGTTTGTCTGCAAGAAATAGAAAGCAACATCTTAGATGAACATTACAGAAGCTTGTTCCTCTTTCACATAAATGTGAGTCATTTGTGTGACCACAACTAAACTTCTGCTGAGCTGTTTTTCTGCTTCAAGTTTTTCCCCCTGAAATTCATACCTCAGAGGTGATAACCTGTCTCCACTCAAGAGTATGGAGGGACAGAGGTGACACCGTGCTGAAGAGAAGGTTTTTAAACATTATATCTTCTCACTTACTTCCCTTTCACTGGAGTTTGATCAAATGGCTTCTGCTAACTGCACAGGGAGGCTGAGAATCTCAGTGTGGAGTGAGGAACAGCTATATAAGCAAACAATTCTGTCACGAGAATGGTTCCTTGTGGGGCATGATGATTTTTGGTTGTGAGGCAAATTCCTGGGCCAGGGAAGGAGGAGGAATGAAGAGCTAATGGATTGCATGTGTTTCTATTTCTTCTTGCGTCTCCTGTCATTTCTGATGTTTAGGGTCACTGACTATAGTCTTGGAGCAGAACTTTCATAACTGTTATGTCTTCACTGGGAGATTCACCCTTTAGCTTTATAAAGTCCCCTTCTTTGCTTTTACTTCTTGAATGGGAGCAGAGGTTTCACCCAACACACACATTTCAAATGCTTGCTGTGCACTCTGGCCAGATTTTCTGCAGGGAGATGAGGCACACAGTAGTCATCCCCAGGAGCTGTTGTTTGCATTGCGGGCGATCTGTGGTGGTTTGGAATAGTAAAGCAAATGCTGTCAGCCTGTTTTGCTTTCTTTTAAATGAGCCACTAGATCTGTGTCTGTGCAAGGGGGAAGCAAAGTATTTATAGCAAAAGGCCACAGATGTCTCATAGAATAAATGCCCAAGAATTACAGGGCCCAGAAAAGTCTCACCCTCAGCTCTCAGCCTCAGTTGCCTGTTTATAACTTCATTTGGATGGAAGTCAGAGAAGAGCATGCTGGGAAGTGGCCAGTTCTAACTGAGAATGTATGTGTCCTATGAACAATTACTCTCTTATAACTATCATGGGTTTTCCACTGAGGAGATTTTTCCGCTGCTGTGTCTCCAGGAAGGTCACAGGACAAGGCCGCATGTCCTCTTTGCCACATCCAGGAAGGAGACCTGCATGGTGGTGCTTGTGTGCAAACTTCCTGCAGCTGTTCCATTGCTCCTGGGGACCACAAGGCCCCAGGCAGAAGCTTACCCATATGCTTCCAATGCCAAAGTTCACTTGCAGCAAAGAGCTGTGGAGACCAGAGCCCCCAGTCCCTACCACAGTGCCCACGTCACATGAAGCAGGTACAGCTGCTCTTCTGTGAGGACCACAAGGAGCCCATATGCCTCATCTGCAGGCTGAGTCAGGAGCATCAAGGCCATCGAGTACGTCCCATAGAGGAGGCTGCACTGGAATATAAGGTAGGTGTTCACCCCCACATAGGTGGACACCCAGGCTTGTGTTCTTCATCCAACCCCTCTGGGATATGGGTGCAATAGGCAGGATTCCTGGGCTCTAAATGGTAAAAACACAAGACTAACCAGGACAGCAAAGAAGGAACTGCTCATTTACATCGTCCAAGGGTACTGGCTTTCAGTTTGGGTCCTGGGTCTCCGTGTGGGGATAGATCGTTGGTGACAGATTCACACCATTCCTTTCCTAGAGCCCACCCCCCTTGCTTTCAATTGCAGCATCCCAGCTCTGTTTCCAGAAGCTGATTCCTCCCTTTAGGATTGGTATGAGCAAAAAAATGGAAGGAATCAAACATAAGCATCTAAACCAATACTCGTTTCCAGGAGCAAATCCAGAAGCAGCTGGAGCGCCTGAGGGAGCTGAGGGTGTGTGTGGAGGAACACAGTCTGCAGGGGGATAAGAAGACAGAGAACTTCCTGGTAAGGCCCCAGGCCAGTCCTTGTCCCTTTACACCTGCAGGAAAGGGTCCTGGGCCTCTGCCCTGACTCACAGGGCAGCCGGGATTGTCACCTATTCTCTAGTCCCAGTGGTGATGGTAGGGAGGTCTAAGGTGAGCTCATTCATCCTTGTGGTTCTCTGTCAGGGCAGAGAGAGGGTCACCTCCAAGGACCTGCTCATTTTCTCCTTCTCATAACTAAACAGTTTAGAGAAAGTAGAGACTGTCATTTCAAAAACTCTCTGTATTAGTTATATAATTATTGTTAGAGCTGAAGGTGTAGCTAAGTTGGTAGAGTAGAGGCACAGAATCAATGAGGCCCCAAGTTCCATCCCCAGAATGGCAAAAACTAGATGTGGTGGCACACAGATAACCTCAGCATTTGGAAGATAGAGGCCAGAGGAGAAATTTGAGCTCATCATTAATATAGCAAGTCCAAAACCAGCCTGGGCTATGTTAGACTCCCACATATGCCAAAAAAATCTGGTAATGTTGGCACACACTTGTAATCCTAGCACTCAGAAGAAAAAGGCGGGAAAACAGGGCTACATAGTGACATCCTGTCTTAGAATAATAGTAATAATAATAATAACTTTTTATTTGTAAATTTTATAAAAACTATCTTGACTTTTGGGTTCCCCCCCCCGCCCCCATTCTAGGGATAGGACCTAGGGCTTTGTATTTTCTAGGAAGGGGTTTTATACTTGAGATGCATCCACAGCCTTCCCTTCCTTTGGCTTTTTGAGACTTGACCTCATTATATACTCCTGGATGGATGTCAACCTACTAAAATGAGCTCTTTGGGTGTGTGTGTGTGTAGGGGTGCAACAGGGTTTCTCTGTATAGCGCTGACTGTCCTGGAACTATCTCTGTAGACCAGGCTGGCCTGGAACTCAGAGATCCAGCTGCCTCTGCCTCCTGAGCACTGGAATAAAAGGCATGTGCCATACAGCCCTGCAGAATGACCTCATCTTAACTAAATACGTCTGCAAGTGTCCTACCTCCAGACAGGATCACATTCTGAAGAACTGGGGTGTCAACATGGAACTTAGCACCATATTCGACAGACTTTCCCAAGAGCTGGTCCCTCTTGTGTTCTAGAAAGTTCCATACAGATTGCTCCCCATTTTGGAGCCCAGTTCTCCAAGAGGCTGAGAATCTTAGTTACATCTAAATTGTTATGACGATGGGGGTTGGAGAGATGGCTCAGCAGTTAAGAGCACTTGTTGCTCTTGCAGAGGACCCAAGTTCAATTCACAACACTTACATGTTGGCTTCCAGTTCCAGGGAATCTGAAGCCCTCTTTTGACTTCTGAGGGCACCAGTAAGGACACATGTACACCAGCATATCAAATACATGCATCCAGGCAAAACATTTGTTAACATAAAAATAAAAATATTTGCTATAAAGAGCCACCATGACCAAGGCAACTTATAAAAGAAAGCATTTACTTGGGGGCTCACAGTTCTAGAGGTCTATGGCCATCATGGCCAGACGCATAGCAGCAGGCAGACAGGCAGGCAGGCATGTTGCTAAAGCATATCTGAGAGCTTATGTCTTTGTCCACAAACATTAGGCCAAGAAAGTACAGGAACTAACTGGGAATTGTGTGGGCTTTTAAAACCTCAAAGCTCAGTTTCAGTGACACACCTGTCCTGAGACCACACCTCCTAATCCTTCCCAAACAGTTCCACCAACTATGGACAGACATTCAAATGTATGAGCCTATGGGGGCCATTCTCGTGCCAACTTCACACTAAGGAAGCCCGCCTCTCATCTGTCTCTGTGAAGTGGGCTTTCAGAGTATCCCTAGATACATACTTCCAGCCCACAGCACATACCCATAGGTCTCCCAATTCTATGCTCCCCAGAAAGAAACAGAAACCCAGCAGCAGAGGGTTTCGTGTCAGCTTGAGAAGCTGTACCAATTCCTGGAGCAGCAAGAGAAACTCTTTGTGACCTGGCTACAGGAGCTAGGCCAGACTATTGGCAAGATCCGAGAGACATATGACACCAGGGTTTCCCGTGACATTGCCCTCCTGGATGAACTGATTGGAGAACTGGAGGCCAAGCAAGACCAGCCAGAATGGAAGCTCATGCAGGTGAGTGTGGGTGTGCCTGGCCTTCCCTTACCTGCTGTGCCCAGTGAGATAATTCAGGCTCGTCACTGCCCAAGGCAGTGGTCATTGAGGCCTGGAATGGGACTTGGTCGCAATGATCCATGGTGTCTTTTGGGCTCATGCCTCTTTGATAAGGTCTCTTGGAAGCCCAGAACATCTCAGCATCTAGGATACCCCTGGCATCACCCAGAATAGATCAGAAGAACTGCAGTGCAGTTGAACTGTGGGTTCTGGCAAGGCCTCCAGCCTTGTGATTAGAATTATAATAAAGGAGGAATGTTTCTATTTACTGGTACCCTAGCACTGGGGGTCCTTGAAAGGTCAGAGGGCAGCTGGCAGCCTGGGAATCACAGACACTTGGAGACTGGTAATGGAGATCTTCCCTCTTTTCTCTCCTAGGACATTGGAGTCACGTTGCACAGGTACAGAGATGTCCCATGGTGTCCCTTTGAGTATCTTGCAGGAAGTATATGGATGGGACAGTCCTAGGAGAGACTTGTGTCCTGAGACTATCCTTCCTGGGTTTGTGTGGAGAAAAGAACAGAATGGGAGCCTAGGCAGGTGGGAGGGGAGAGGGAGGGCATGAATAGAAACTGAGAAGAATGGATTTATCCCAGTCAGTGCTTTGTGTCCTCTCAAATGGCCTGCATTCCATGCCACTTGTTTTATGACAGTGGCCTCTGAAGAGCTGCCTCTAGTCTCAAGCACTTTCAGGGGCTTCTTGGGGGTCCACTTGGAGGTGGGCTAAGCCCAGCAGGCAGGGGGAAGAGACAGGTGAGATAGAAAAGGCAACATCTCATAGTTACTTGAGAGCTTTACAAAATGCTGGTGTCTAAGCCACAGCTACACCAATTAAATCTCAATCTTGGGGTTGGTACTTGAGCATTAGTGGGTTTTTAAAAAAATTTTCCAGTAAAATATACATAACATAAAATTTCCCCTATTTTATATCTGCAGTGTACTGATGTTAATACATTCACATTAGTGTGAACCTGTTATCACCTCCACCTTCAGAACCTTTCATCCTCCCACATGAGAACTCTGTACCATTCCACAAACACTCATCCCTCATCCTACCTCCCCTATTGCCTGGCAACCACCATTCTGTTTTTCCTGTTCATTAGTCTGGTTGTTCTAAAGACTGCATATTAGCAGAATTGTACAAAGTTTGCCCTTTAGCCTTTGGCTGACTTTCTTTCGGTACCACGGTTCATGTATCAGAATTCCATTCCTTTTAATTGCTAAGTGACACTCCTCCTTTGTATGCAGATGTCACATCTTCCTTATCTATTCATTTACTGACAGACATTTGGACTGTTTCTACCTTTGGGCTATTGGGAATGGTACTGATATGAACATTAATATACAAGCACAACTTGAGACACTGCTTTCAATTCCTCAGATTTTACACTTACAAGTGGAATCTGCATACTATTTCCCACAGCAGGAGCATCATTTCACATTCCCACTCACAGTGCCAAATTCTCCACATCCTTGTCATCAACCTGTAATTTCCTGTGATCACTTTTTACTCCTGTTATAATGGCCATTCTAATAGGTGTGAAGTGGCATTTCATTTTTTTTCCTTTTTCCTTTCCATAAGAATAGTAGAGAAGTATAACTAATTTGACATTGAGAATTCTGACAGTGAGAGAACTCAATTTTAAGGCTGCAATTGAAAGTCATTGTGATTTTTATTAGTGGCTCAGAGATGCTATCTGCAGCTGAATTTGAGGACCAGTGTCAGAACTCTGGGTCTAGCGAAGATTTCTTTGTGTCGCCCAAACTGGGATGCGTGTGTTTAGTGAGGATGGTCTGACTGCCACCTCATGGGGACTCAAGCTACATCTTGCTCTTGTTTTCTCTGGACAATCTTTTGTCTCTAGGGCCAAGATGGTGACTGTCTCTGAGCCATCGGCCACTCCTCCAGATGTCAAAGAGAAGATCCACCTGCTCTATCAGAAATCAAAGTTTGTGGAGAAGAGTATGCAGTACTTCTCAGGTGAGTGAGCTTGGAGGAAGATGAGAAGCACTTGCTCACTTCCTCCCTGGGATCCACACAGCCCAGAGCCTGACCATTCACTTCCCATCTACCAAACCTTTATGGCCCTGTCTCTAGCTTCTTTCTGATCTAACTCAATCCACTAACTCAAGTTTCTCTGATCCCTTTCTTCCATTTCAGAAACCCTGCGCTCTGAAATGAAAACATTCAGTGCTGTGGATGTAGCAAAATGGGGAGAGTGCTGGCCTAGCATACCACAGGCCCAGGGTTTGATTCCCAACACTTACCAAAAATGGGATGGTGGAAACACACTGGACTATGATATAGTACTTTATCCAGAAGTGGAAGCTGGAGGAGCAGAGCCTCAGGAAGCTCAAGGCACACCTGAGCTACATGAGACCCTTTCTCAGAACAACAAACGAAAATTTAGATCTTTCCTGAAATGGAAATCTTCATTTGTAAGTATAGTGTTGGAAATATAAGCTAACCAAGAGTTTCTGTAATTGTCCTTTATCTGTTGCTTTGGGAGAACTATTCAGAAGAGGTGGGAAACAACTAGAACAGAGGCACCAGACGGGTCATAAAAGGCCCCCACAGCTCTGCTTCGTCCTGGGTCTGCCTTGTTCATTGATCTAACCTCTTGAGTCTCTGCAGTACCTGGGAGGCCTTCACTATAACTAACAGGATGCAGAGCCCTAAGCAGGAGGATCCTATTCCCTGTGGGGATGGTATAGTTCAGCCCCCTGAACTGGTATGCTTAGAACTTTCTTTATTCCATTTTCCCCCTCTGTAGTTCCAGAACTGACTGATGCTCAGGAATGTGCTGGTAAGTGCCTAGATAAAGGCAAGTAGTAGCTTTGGTATATCGGGTCCCTGTATGTTCCTGTCCCCTACCACAAGCTCACGGAAATCCCTCTTCCTTAGATGGGGACAACCTTCGAGAAGCCTGCAGATCCCCACCCCCAGCTAGGTATTCTTATTCTTCCTGCAGTTTCTGGGATTCTGATCCAGCAACTACTCAGCCCAGCCTCAACTTCTCTGACATGAAGAGTGTGAGATTTGGAAAAAGTCATACCTGCTGCCTGATAGTCCCCAAAGATCCTAAAGTCACATCATCACTCTGGATACTCCTAGCTTTGACCCCAGTTGCCATCACTGGGAGGTAGAGTTTGGAGACAAGACAATGCAGGTGCTGGGAGCACGCAAAGCACTGCCAAGCAGAAAGGGAAATATAACTATTGGGTGGCAATGATGACAAAGCAACAGGAATCCACTTTTCTCCAAACTGTGAAGATAGCACACACGGCAATGACACGCAGCGGCGTTCAGAAGAGGAAGTGCATGGCTACTGCATTATCCTGCATGAATCAGTGCTCTCAGATGTTCTTCAAACAGAAGATTCCACTTCAATTTCCCTCTCAGGGTGAGAATATGTCCTGTCTGCCCTGGTCTTGAGGACACATAAAACCTATAGAAAATAAATATTCACAGACTGCAAGATGGGCACACTCTTTGTTCTCACTCATTTTTTTCTTTTTGGTTTTTCGAGACAGGGTTTCTCTGTACTCTGGAACTCACTTTGTAGACCAGGCTGACCTCAAACTCAGGAAGATCCACCTGCCTCTGTTGGGATTAAAGGTGTGCACCACCACTGCCCAGATTAGTTCTCATGCTTAAAGCAGCGCCTCTCTGGGTTTTGAAGGTATAACCATATTATCTCTCCATATGATATACTGTACCTCCAATGCTCTCCTTCTACCTGGAGGCACAATCTCGGCCTTGAGACCCTTATATTCTAATAAATCTCATACCTGGAGGGCATTATGTATCAGCTTCCTTTCAGGCAGACCGCTGCTATTCTTAGCATTATAAAACAGTTTTGTAACTTGCCTTTTAATTTATTCTATTTATTGGTTTATTATTGGTTGTATTACATTAACATATAATGATTTACCCATAGCTACTTTTGTATCTGTGCATGAATCCCCCAGTCTCTGCCTTCCCAGCATTGTGATTATGTCTGCCTTTTTTTTAACACCACTACCACACATACACACACACACACACACACACACACACACACACACACATGTTTTCTACTGTTCACTCATTTAAGCTTTGTATAGTAAACTTTTAAGTATAAGCAGATACCTTTCAAAAATTTCTGTTGCCTGTTTTCATACTCGTTATTTTAAGCCATGGTTAACTGAGTCGGCTATTACTAGTGTTGACATGCTTACAAAGAAAAAAATTCAACATCATACTGGAGGCTGTCATTTCACTCATGTAGGCATGGGGTGTGACAGTCAGCGCTACCTGACGGCGCTGTGGTTTTGCCTGCGGAGAACTGACCTGACCTGCTGTATCTTAGTCATCGGAGTGCTCAGACTTGAGTAATGATTTACACAGGTCCCCTGTGATGACTAAAGAGACTTAATATGGAGCCAGGCATCCCTTAAGGGCCCTTGACCTTTTCCTCTGGGATGCCTGGGAGATCCTAGTGGCCTGCAGGTGAGATAAGAAGAGGATAATGGACTGTGAAGTATTAACAGCTGCCTTTGCTTCTGTAAATCCTGCTGATCGCTATGGGAAAGAGACAGAATAGGTTCTTTATTACTATAAAGTGGGAAAGAAACAACTGAGGAAAGTAATTTTCCTGCCCAGCTATGGGTTCCATGGATGGTTGTTATGCATACCTTTATGATGTCTCCTTAAAACCCCGCCTTAATCCCCCTTCCACATGTAATGCTCTAAGGTCCTCGACCTTCTGCTAGCGGTAAGAATAAATTTATTTAATCTAAATTTGAATTGAGCCTAAGTCTTTGGTGTCTCCCAGTGGATTCGAACGCCACAACAAAGGAATAAGAGAATCTGTGCCCATAGATTGTGTTAATCCTCATCAGTACCTAACCGGAAATAAACTGAGTACGGAAAGAATGAAGCAAGAGCTAGGGTTGGTGGTCACACTTGCTTTCCTTGCACTCAGGAAGCTGAGGCAGGAGACCGCCTGGATCAGAAAGGATCTCAAGTCTGTGAGAGGCCAAAAATGAATAGGGAAATGGAAACTCTTTTAAAAATATGACAGTGTAGAGGATAGTAAACTGGGACCTACGCGCAGCCCAGCACTCAGGTTCCGCAAACATAACCAGGGCGTATGCCCAGCGGGTCCTGAGCCCTCAGGAATGCTGCAAAGGCAACCGAGGTCGACCACGTGTAACCAACTTCCTCAGGGGCTCCGATCGTCCGCCGCCCTCCCGGCCACCAGGAGGTCTCCCGGTAACAGTTTGGAGGGAACTACATTTCCCAGCAAGCACTAGACACTATATTGCCAATCACAGTGGATGCGCACCCGCCAGGGGGCCCAGAGGTAGCTTCCTTTTTCTCGCCTCCCAAGTGAGGCACAGAGAGTAGTTACCGCAGGCCTCCCGTGGACCCTAAGAGTTCCACCAGCAACCCTTCAGCCTCACTTTTTCAAGCACCGAGCGTTCCCTTCGAGCGGGGAGACCAGGCTTCCACAACGGAAGTGACTAACCGGAAGTGGTCCCACAGAAGCGGGAGCATCCGGCTTCACAGGGGTTCTCTGCAGTCTCAGCAAAAGGCACAAATTCCGAAAGGTTGCTGCCAGTCCTTGAGGGAACTCAGAAGGAGGAGGCTGGAGGTCGGCCTTTCGCGCCTGATTTTCTCGGTCATTTCCAGAACCTAGGTCTTAGCGCCAGGCACTGAGTGCCGAATGCAGAGGGCGGTTTGGACAGTCAGCCAGGTTGGGGCGGCTGATGGGTGAGCATCACCCGTTACTGAGATGCTAGAGCGGCCTGGATACCACGTGCGCCCACAAAGAGTGCCACAATCGGCCCTAGGCTGAGCAGTGGGCACAGTGTCCAGTAGAGTCACTGAGTTTTCACTTAATACAGCTTTCTCTTTCCCAGTGCAATCTCATCCTTTCGTGAAGCTTCCTCCCAGAGGAGTCCAGCAGAAAGTGTTTCTGTGCTTTTGTTTTCTACTCACTGTTGCCTTCCTCGCTCCTGCAGCCGTCCCTTTTCAGCCAAATTGCATCTAATACATTTTTTTAAAGTCAAGTTCCCATGGATATTTCTTTTCTGTTTTTTAACACACACACACCACGGGCTCCTCGGCCTGGCTGTCCGGTCTGTTCTCCTCCTGTATGGGGTTTATAGGCCCGTTTACCATTCTTTCCCTTGATGGTTCAAGTCTTTCTTAAGCTGCAGAGCTGGCAAGAAATCTCAGTTATTAGAAAGAAAGGGGCCTTTTGTTCTTACAGGCATGATGGACTTTGAGGATTTGAGTGTACATCACTCCCAAGAAGAATGTGTGAGCTCAGAGCCTGTTTGCAAACCAACTCAGAGAAGGAAAATAATAGTCACGTTGGGGAGATGATGTCACTGGGTAAGGAATCCTTTGTGTTCAAATTGTGTGCTATAATGAGAGCTGGGTCTCATTTTGTGGCCCTGGCTTGTTTGGCATTTACTAGATAGAACACACTGATATGCAACATGGAACAATTGTCTTGTTTCTACTTCCAGATACTAAGATTATAGGTGTATATACCATGCTCAGCCTAGAAGTCTGTTCTTCATCTTGGGAGTGGTTGAGGCAGTACTCACACTTAATAAAGTACAAATACACAGTATTGGTTTTGTTCCATCTCATTTAGTAGAGCCTCACCACAGACTTGCAGCTGTGGGTGACCATTTTCCCTATACTTGGAGACACTAGTAGAATGAAGAACTTACTTTATGAGATTGATTTCTGAATTTGGTGTAATTCCTTTGATGGTAGCAGTAATTTTTTTTTTAATAGAGCGACAATCTGACCTGAAATTCATTTGGGGAAAAATTGTGCTATTAACCAGGGAACTAGAAAGAAAGAGGAACAGAGTAGGAGAGGTACCAGCCCTGTGTGATAGTGATTAGCAGTCTTGTGTCACTTTAACAAAATGACTGAGAGAAAAGGAGGAATTTTATTTTCCTGAGAAAGTGAAGGGATCAGACCCTCATCTAGCCCCCTGCTTTGGCAGCCATAACAGGCTGCAGAAGAGATCCAGCAAGAGGTAGTGTTGTTTTGCTACAGCTGCAGGTGATGAAACACAAACCACAAAACTCAACCAAACCCACATGGAGTTTATTGGGAAAGGGAACAAAGGGAGGGGTAGGTGTTGGTCAACCCAGAACAGGGATGGAAGGGGAAGAAGGGAAGAGGTGAACAGGTGGTAGGCGCTCACTTAAAAGAGAAAGCTTGCATATACACAGTCCTTACGCAGCCACATAATGCATGATGTAGCCACACAGTACAGGGCCCTTTGAGCTGTCTAAGTATCTGCATGAATGCCGGAGTGTGTATCCTGACCATTGTCAGGGGGCAGGGTCAGCATAATGCCTGAATGCTTACAGGTAGGCCTCTGACTCAGCAACCAACATGTGCTGAGCTTCCAACCTTGCCCCAGTCACTAGGAAGCCAGATACCCACCATGTGGCAAGGAACCAATCAGAAGTTAGCTGGCAGACTCTGGATGTTCTTTACAGTAACAGTGGAGTGCAGAGCATAGCAACTGTCCTGGGAGGGCCTATAGGCCATAGCAACCTACCTGCAGCTGTAGTTGACCAATCAACTCAGGACAGGTCACCCAAGCCCAGAAGCACACCAACCCTGAGACTGTTGTGGACCACAGACACTCCCCTTGCTCTACACCCCAATAAATTCCCTGGCCCATGGTCCCTCTGGCTCCTTCTTGATCCACCTGCTGTGTCACATGGAAGACCCACGTTAAGGAGTGAGATAGCAATGACATAGCCACCGCCTGTTGTCGGGGGCTGGGTCTGTCTCTTAAAGGGGTACTTTGCACCTGCGTGTAGACTAGCTCTCATGGAACCCTGGGCTGACCAGGGTACTGCCGGAGTGCATTCTGCCAGGTAACAGGGCAGGTGGGAATTTGGATTAGCCCACCATCTGAATTTGAGTAGCTAGCTACTGGGGCGATCACCTCCCATCCATGAATCTGAAACTTGTAAGTCTTTGAGATGGGCCCTTTTGTGTAAGTGATGTTGAAAGGGGGGAAACTAAACTCAAAGGCTTCGCTCCTAGGAATGAAGGAATCAGACCCTCACTCAGCCCCTGCTTTAGCAGCCATGACAGGCTATAGAAACCCACCCAGTCTCCTAGATACTTGGTTCCTGGGAACTGTTTGACCATAAAAGAAACTCCAGGGGAAGCCAAAACCTCTCTTGTAGTCTCCAGGATACAGTTCTGAAAACTATTGGTATCTATGTACAACAGGCCACCTGCAAGTAACAAGACAAAGCCATAGAAACCACAGAATGTTCCCTCTCTGCACTGACCAATGAAAATAATTGGTACACAGGTATTTCATGCCAAAATATGACTTTGAGAAATTCTGCTGATTATTCCTAAATGTCAACCAATCAGAGACCAACCCATACCTACTGATATAATCCTGTAACTTTTGTCTTTAAAACCTAGCAGTAGATAGGGAACTTTACTTCCTCTGGAGGCTGCAGTGACAGCTTGCTAGACAGGGTCCCTGTCATGGTTGGATGAACAATTAGAACCTTGCTTTTGCAGTTTGGTGGGTCTGTCTTCCTGGTGGTCTCTGGGGATCTTTGTGACTTGGGCACAATACTGTGTTGTTTGTCTTGTCTTGATGGCACTGACACTGACTCGGACACAGTCTAACATGAGACAGACCCCTTGCTCCCCTTTGTAAAAACAGAGAATGTGTGCTGCTTTCTCACTACAAAGCAGCCATGCTGTGGCTGTGAGAGTCGGGGAAGTTATAGACCCCAGCAGCAGGCTCACTGAATCCTGGCAGCAGTGGTGGCAGCAACTCTAGATGTGAGCCGGGCCCTTCCTGAAGATCACCCCAGCTGCAGTGGTAGGCAGCAGCCAGAGGGCACCCCCCTCACTCCATCCTCACCCACCCGAGTGTGGTTCGGGGTGGGGGTCTTTCTGTCCCCTCTGACATCTTGCCAGTCAGGCGGAGGGGCTGCACACCACTCTTCCCCTGCTGGGTTCACACATCTACACACCAGGCCTCGGGTTTTCTGAGGAACCTTGGGCAGTGCCTAGCATGAGACTTAAGCAGAAAGGCCAAGGTATAGGTTTTAATATGTTAATATAAGTTTAGAGTTATTGAAACCACAAGAATGACTTTGGTAAAAGTTTTTATGTTGACTGAGAAATTGAAGAGACCAACCCCCATTTTGGCAGCCATGACAGGCTAACACGTGCTTGCATGACCTTGCTGGGCATGCCTTGGTCATTAGGAGGTCAGATACCCACCTCGTGGCAAGGAACCAATCAGAAGTTAGCTAGTGGGGCTATGCTTTATGACTCTGGGTGTGCTTTACTGACGAGTGCACAGCAGAGACGTTCAGAGCATAGCAACTGCCCTGGGAGGGCCTATGGGCCATAACAACCAGTTGACCAATCAACACAGGTCAGGTTGCCCAAGCCTGGAGGTGCACCAATCCTGAGACTATGCGTACCCCTATACACTCCCCCTGGCTGCCTTATAAGATCTCTGTCCCTCCCCTGGAGAAGCAGAAAGGGACAAGATCTCCTGAGCAAATTGGGAGAACGGGGAGGGGGGGATGACTAAGAGAATGAGAAGGGGAGAAGAGGTGGAGTGAGGAAGACAAGATGGGGCAGGGAGGTTGAGTTGAGGGAAGAACAGAAGAGAGCAAGATAAGAGATAATATAATAGAGGGAGACATTATAGGTTTAAAGAGAAATCAGGCACTAGGGAAATGTCTGGAGATCTACAAAGATGACACCAGC